TGTAGCAATTTTTATTGTTTATGTAGTTTTTCATCAATCATCACCGTTCGAATATTTCAAGAAAAACACACTGACTGACTACATTGATTTAATAATCCATGATCATTCGCCTTTGTGTGCAAAGATTCTATCATTTTGTATGTAACAATTGCATAAATGTTGACGAACAAAATATTCAAATGCACCAGCACTTTCAAATTTCTTTAAATTACCAAACTCACATGATTAGCATTATCTACAACCTTAAACCAACATACCAGTATAAATACAAATGGTTACCATTCAAACTTAGTTACTAAAACAGATGCTTGTATCTAAACCATCACTCAAGAATTCTGAATTACTCTGTTACACTCCACTGTTTATACACTACATTAGTTTAACCAATTTTATCCTAAGAACACATTAACCTACCGAAATCATTGAACCAGAATCATATATTGATGATCATCAGTGGTCCGAACACAGGCAAGTACTCACGCTCACAAAAGAGGAAGACATCTGACTCCATCGCGTCTCTTTCCTACCACGCGACTGCTCTGAGCGACTCTTAATGTAGGCTATGCACCAGTTCCGTTTAGTAATACTAATTCCAGGGGCAGTCATCTAATTAAAGTACGCAACAAACCGCTCTTTAATGGCGTAGCTAAATTTTGCCGCCCTTGGGAGACGTAAAGGTTGGATAGGGAACATTTCTCCATCTAATGGCTCCACTCGTAGCAGTTCTTCCCTTTACTTTTCATCACAGATATTGAGACGCAGAAAATTATGAAGCAAACACGCTGCTGATACAATGTGTTTTATATTTCCTTCTTTCAGTTCTATGGGTATCAAAAAAATCCTCCACTTCATGGCAAGAATAGGCCTCCGTCAATTGGTATATTGCTTAGTGATATCTTGCCTGATGGCTCTCAGGATTTCATCAAACCTATCAATATTCATCCTGAAATATATGTAGAACTGTTTTTCGTCCTTCAGGACTTAGGGTATCAGCGTATAAAACTCCCCCAGTTCCTCTCTTGACAAGTTTATATCATGAACCCAACAGATTCGTCTCTTTCGCCTAAAATAGGAGCACACATAGCAACCACTTATATGTACTTAATTAGAGACTGTTATGGAATTGTAAATATTTGTACATATATGTGACATACTGAATATGTGGAGGAAAAGAACTACGCAGATTTAGTGTTCAGTAAAATACTTACCGGGATTCACCTTCGTCTTCCATTTACCGCAATGTAATTATATATCGTCCCGTACCGTACCGAGCTGAGTATCCTTTAATCAAACATAAGTTTCCTCAGTGTGCGACTACTATTCTGGAAACCAGTTGTCTCCTCGAAACCGGCGACACTTCTCGGTAATTGAGGTTGCATTGCAGTTGCCAGTACTCTTGGTGTGCCCTCGCCCTAACAAAGAAATGAATCACTGAAGCGCGTTACAGGATAGCTGATACTAGAAAACCAAGCGGAAACGCAATTGTGAGAAGGCTGGCATACTCCGTTTCCTGGAAATTGAATTTCTCAGTCTCTTGGCGAGTTGCGTTAACGTTTCCTCAATTTGCGCCGCTCCGATAAGTAACATGTATTCAACTCAGGCCGATAACAATTCTCGGAAATCGCATTTTTTGTTTGTGGTTTACAGTTTCCTTGGTGTGCCCACGGCCTTAGTTATTAACATGATTTGCACTTCCCTGATAATTATAAAAACGCTCCAAATTTTGATTTATATTACAGACAAGAATGTAATAAATGGAACAATGTGCACAGCTTTAATTACTCCTTGCCTACATTTATAACTCCTTTCGAACATAACATTTTGCTGTTATGACTATATGGTAATATATTAACTATATGATAAAATACTGACATGCGCAGATCAGAGCACGAACAGCCACCGGGCCACCAGTACACCGGCAGTGAAATCCCTGTTCCCATGAACCCATGAAAGAGCACGAAGCCCATGTGTGTAGTACACAACATTTTCCTACAGATGTCGTTCATAGTGTTGGGTCAATTTTTGTGGTCTGGAAGCGTGTGACATGGCTGGAAATAAATTAGAGGAAATGGAGGTAAGGCACACATTGTAATGTTAAATTAGTCGTGCCTGTTATTTAAGTTTGACATTACGGGTATGTATAGTGTTATAAGGTGATATGATACGAAAGCCGTGAACGAGCTAGCATGCATGAGGATCATGGGCCGGCGTGACTAGGTTAACGTGGACCACGATCGACAGGAGTTATTCTCTCGTTAAAGTTTATATCACATATTTTAACTTGGCCATGTACGGTTTGTGCTGACAGAACGTGGAGAAGGAGGAGGATGGTGTGGAAGATTTGCTACCGGAATTACAGATTAAACACCCATTGCAAAATACTTGGACGCTCTGGTATTACGAAAATGACCGGAATAAAACCTGGGAAGAAAATCAGCGAGAGATCATCAGTTTTGATACAGCTGAAGACTTCTGGAGGTATAATTTAATTCATTTTCTTCGTGGCCTTATACTGTGGACGTGTTTATTGTACCCATTTCTTAAGATTGCCAACCATCTGTTGTGGCAACAGACGTATGTATGGTTTGAGCATGAGGAAAGGAATGACCCTTTTTGCCTTTCGTGTGTGTTCCCAGAAATCCATCAGTAAATGTTAATATCTCTTTGTTTCATCAGTTCACTCACTCATGGAGCTGAGCCTTTCTTGAGAAGCTGCCAATTATGCAGCCAGTCTAGAACTTCCCAGCATTTTATGGAACCCAAAGGTTCATTACCATTTTCACAAGTCCTCCAGTCGTCCTTATCCTGAGCCAGATAAATCCAATCCCATTCTATCTCTCTAAGATCCATTTTAATTTTGTTAACCCAACTACATCTTGGTCTTCTCAGTGGTCTCCTACCTTCCGGCTTTCCAACCAATATCATATATGCATTTCTCCTCGCCACCATTCGTTCTACATGTCTTGCCCATCCCGTCCTTCTTGACTTGATTATTCAAATTATACTTGGATAAGAGTACAAGTTTCTAGACAGGAGCTGCCATTTCCTTGAAATAGCACCTCAATTATCATCACGAGGCTGAGTGGACCCCATTCCAGACCCACTACTTCTCAGAAAAAATATTGTAGAGCCGGGAATCGAACCCGGATCTCTGTGTCTGTAGCCAGGAACTCTGACAGCGGCCATGGGGATTTGTTGTGCTGACCACGCGACACCCTCTATCCACTAAAGTTGGCACTAAAATTCGCCAACAAGCGGTGGTCGCTTGGTCGGTATAGTTCGCTTGTAGAGTAAAATCATGGAGTTTGTTTGTTTGTATGTTTGTTTGATTGATTTTTCTAAGAGTACAAGCTATGAAGCTCCTCATTATGCAGTTTTCTCCAACCTCCTGTCACTTCATCTCACTTTGGTCCAAATATTCTAAGCACCCAGTTCTCAGATATCCTCAGTCTATGTACCTCCCCTAAAGTCAGAGATCAGGTTTCACATCCATACATAACCACAGGCAAAATTAAATTAAAATGTATATTAAAATGTTTATGTTTTTAGACAGCAGATGAGAAGACAAAAGGTTCTGAACTGAATGGTAGCATGCATTACCTGAGTTCAGTCTCCTCTTAATTTCCTCCTGAATCAGGTTTTGATCTGTTGTAGTCATTCCCAAATATCTGTTACCTATGTTTATATCATGATTTTGCCTTGCATTTTTGTGACGAGATAGCAACATGTACTGATTTTTTTGTGTGTGTTTACTTCTAGAACAACCTCCTTACTAGTGTCAATTAAAATTTTTGTGTTTCTCTTTATGGTATCTATATTATCACCCAGTAGATTCACATCAGCATTGACCAACAGCTGGTGTGCCCCATTTAATTTCAGTCCCACATGGTTTTGTTGGACCTTCCTAATGGCATATTCTAAAGCAGTACATCTCCTTGTTTTAGACCATTCTGGATAGGAAAATTATCAGACAAATGTTTACCTATATGGACTTTACCATATGTTTTGTTGAAACATATTTTAATTAGCCGAGCTAGTTTCATGGGTGTCTCAAACTCTGTCAGACTATTGTACAGTACTTCCTGCCTAACTGAATCATAGGCTTTCTTGAAGTCTATGAATAGCTGATGTACTGTCCCACTGGATTCCAATTTTTTTTTACCAGTATCTGATGAATGCAAAAGATCTGATCACTAGTTGATCTGTTACGTCGAAACCCACACTGATGATTTCCAGTAATTTCATCTATGTATGGACTTAATCTTAAGAGAAGGAAATTGGATAAAATTTTGTATGAAGTTGATTGCAGTGATATCCCTTGATAATTACCACAGTCAGTTTTATCATCCTTCTTGTGAACTGGTACAATAATAGACTCCTTCCACTGATCAGGCAATTTTCCTCATGCCAAATAGAAGTAGATTGTGAATCTTACGAGTAGAATGTAATATTTCACCTCTTGCTTGAATAAGTTCTGCCGGAATTTGATCACTACCTGGCAATTTATATTGTTTCAATTTTGCAATAGCACTTTCAGTCTCAAAAGGGCTAGGATCAGGTACTAACGGCTCAGCTGTATGGATTTCTGTCTGCCTAACAGCACTGACCCTATGTACATTCAACAACAGAGAGAAGTAGTTCCTCCACCTATTCAAAATGTTGTGGGAAACTGCAAGAAGATCACCATTCTCATCCTTCACTAAGTTACTTCTGGGTTGATAACCCCTCTTAAAGTCATTTATTCCTGTATACAGGTCTCCGATGTTCTTGTTTTTGCCGTTCACTGCAAGCTCATCACTTTTGTTTTTCGGATATTCCCTCCTTTTATACCTGAAATGCCTTCTAGTTTCATGTCTTATATTGTTCAGATTATCCCAATTTATTGCGCTTGGATCCTGTAACCACTGCAATTTGGCTTCTTTTCTTTGGTCTGATAATTTCGAGCATCCTTCATCAAACCATGGCTTATGCTTCTTCAGTTCATAATAACCTAGACTGTACTTGGTGGAAATTTTGATATTTTCTCTAATAGTTTTCCAAGCTTTATTAACATCCACCTCAGTGTCCAATTTTTTTTTAAAGCTGCAAACCTATTGGAAAATTTCAACACGATACTGCTCCTTACCATCTACTTCGTTTAATTTCTTAAGATTGAATTCTCAATATGAAGTCTGTGCGTTGTTTATTTACTCACTGCCATTCTTGCCACCACCAGGTAGTGGTCATTATCAAAATCTGCTGCCCTGAATGATCGTACATCAAATGTACTTGAATGCTGTCTCCTATCTATCAAAATATGGTCGATCTGACTATGTGTCTTCGCATTAGGAGATGTCCAATAAATTTATGAATGTTACGATGTGGGAACATTGTACTTTTGATGTGGCAAAGTTTAATATCCTAATTCCATTATGATTACTAATTTTGTGCAAATTCTTGTTCCCATTTATTGGTTTGAAAATATCTTCCCCAACTACTTTGGCATTGAAGTCTCCTAATAAAATTTACGTATGTACTTCAGGAATTTATCAGATACATGTTCTAGTTCTTCATAGAACCTGTCCTTTATATCATCATTGTTATCTTCTGTTAGGGCATGAACATCCAGAACAATATCACACAAGCGACCTGTTAGGACTATGTATGGCTTTATTTCATCACTTATTCAAAAATAATGTCACTTGTATGTGATTTGTTCATATTATATAAATAATGAGTTTCATTTGGATTGGTTCTTGACAAAGTTGCATCTGAAATTAATCTTAAGGTGCTGATTTCATATTTACAATAAAGAAAGTGAAATGTGCAGTACATTATACTATTAAGAAAACCAAATATATATAGACCTTGGGACTTTGAAGTGTAATTTTTTTGCAGTTTGTGCAGAAGGTACCTGTACTCATATGTTATTGTGAGCAACATAATAATACTTGAATATCATCTTTCTGTGGTATCCATGTAGGGTGGTATGACAGTGTTATATTATCATCGTTACTGATTTAATGTGGTTGTGTTGAAGGCTTGAGATGGTAAATCAAAATGCAGAACTCATTCACAGGTTAATTCACATTTGTAAATGTTACATAACTCTGTCCACTATGCCCTATGAATGTTTAAATATGTAACTGTGGGAAGATGCTTGCATCATCATTTATGTTTTTTCTTTCTGTTTTTGGTTATAATAATGTATTAGATTTTGGAAGAGTTCACTTTCCATGTACAGCAAACTCGTGTGACTTATTTAAACTTATATTAATAAATTCATAACTGTGTAATTTTTTCTGTCAGCTAGTCATTTCATTGACAATTTTATTTTCTCTTCAATGTTTCTTTTTTATTGCACACCATCAAAATTACCCCAAGTTACATCAGCAGGAACTTAGACAAAGTCAGAGACATAATTCCACAGCTTTCGAGATATGTGTGCTTTTTACTTTTGCTGCATAACCATGGTAGAATATGCTGACCACTGATAGTTTTATGATCATGTCATCTTTTGTATCATTGTATGTGTCTGTATATGCATGTGTGCTGACACTCCACTAAAACATAATACAGGACACATGAAATGTTTTGCAGTGGGTGGTGTCACTAGTTATATCATTATTTATGGGATCCTTCATAATAAAAATCATAAACAGTTACATTAGAATCCATGCACATCACAGATTTTCATGAAGAATTTGAAGGAGACAGGAAGTCACATTAAAATATATGTTAGGAGAATGTGCTTTGAATACAGTGTGACAACTGAACTCAGATCTGTGGAGAGAATAGTAGATTTATAAGGGCAATGCTATGATCATCCTCAGCACCAAGGACTACAGACATGAGGCCACTGCTGTTCCATATACATAAGTCAGCAAACAAGATGCTGGCAAAAAACCCTACACAGTATAGGAGCACAGAATTTCTCTTCTGATCGAGAAATCCTCACTGCTGGAAGATTTCACTCAACAACTGTGACTACATGGTTTGGCACCACCCAGGGGATATGGTATTCTGTAAATACACAGGCAAAGATTTCCCCTGTAGGCCCATCATTGGCATGGTTGGTGTCCCAGCTTACACCCTTGCAAAATGTTTAGTAGGCATACTGGGACAATGTCCCAGTATGCCTACTACAAATAGTACTTTCACACTGCTAAAAACACTCTCTGTGTGACACTTGAGGATATTCTTGTCACCTTTGACATTGTCTTCCTCTTTACCAAAGTGCTGACTGGAGATGCACTTAGACCCATTTCATGTAAAACCAGACAGTGCTGTCAACCATGTTATTTTGTGTTTTCTTTTATTTTACAGAAGTTCATGAAGTAGAAGTATTCCAAAAAATTGAAATCTTTTACTATTATTAAATTTGTAGATTTTCGAGGAACTCATCCACTTCTTTATTGTTTTCTGTCTCAACACAACTATCAAAATCTCATTTCACATTTACTGTGTATAATGAGTTTATTAGTCTTAGTAGTATTTAATTTTTCAATTCAATTTATTTCAAATTCAAAAATAGATCCAGGTACAGGCTGGGAAACAACCATTCGATATAGAATGAGTCAGATCAAAAAACAAACATTCCATTTCCACAGGAACAAGTCAAGGCATTCATAATATAAAACAAAATAAAAAAAGAACATATCAGCCATATATACAACAAAACTCCCCTGGTATAGAACTCTCAAAGGTTTCAGGCATCAGTACAAGCTCTTTTTTCATTTTCATTACTCATCTATTATTTCCATAAAATCCAACACTTTAGGATGTGGAAAAGTCATATGAGATAAATAAGTAGTACAAAGAAC